GTTTTTGGGATCCCGCAGTGTTTTTTCGGATCCCAGCGGTGTTTATTCAGGACCCCAGCGCTGTCCTTGGGTCCCCCCTCAGGGGCCGCTCCCGCCCCGCCCGCCAGGGGGCGCGGCGCGCAGGCGGCTCAGCCGATGGCCGATGGCGGGGGCGGCCAGGCCGCGCAGCCGCGCGCCGATGTGCGCGGGGGCCATGGCGCTGTGGCGGGGGCTGCGCTGCTGCCGCCGCGCCCTCGCCTGGCTGCCCGTGCTGCTCATCGCGCTGCTGCTGCTCTGGTCCTACTACGGATACGTCTGCGAGCTCTGCCTCGGTGAGCGCCCGGCGCGGGGAGAGAGGCCCGCCCGCCCCGGGCCCGCCCCAGGCCGGCGGGTCCCCGCGGGGCTTCGCCGGCCCGGAGCTGCGGGCGATCCCCCCCCGCCCCGTCCTCCTCCCCCTCCTCCTCATTATCCTTCCCCCTCCTCCTCCTTCTCCTCCTTATCATCATGCTCCTGTTCCTCCTTTTTCTCTTCTTCTTCCCCCTTCTCCTCCTCCTCATCTTTCTCCTTCTTCCTCTTCCTCCCCCTGCTCCTCATCCTTCTCCTTCTCCTCTTCTTCTCCTCTTCTTCCTCTTCGCCTCCTCCTCCTCTTTCTCCTCCTTCTTCTCTTCTCATCCTTCTCCTGCCTCTCGGCGGTGTGTCCCGGTGTTCCGTGGGTGTCCCGGTGTGTCCAGATGTTCCCAGTGTGTCCGGGTGTTCCGTGGGTGTCCCGGTGTTCCCAGTGTGTTCCATGGGTGTCCCGGTGTTCCATGGGTGTCCCGGTGTTCCATGGGTGTCCAGGTGTTCCCAATGTGTCCCGGTGTGTCCAGGTGTTCCATGGGTGTCCAGGTATTCCCGGTGTGTCCAGGTGTTCCCGGTGTGTCCCAGTGTTCCCGGTGTCCTGGCTCCTGTCCCGTCTGGGACACCCCCGGGCAGAGCAGGAGCACAGGGATAACTTCACTCGGAGCCGGGTCCATCCCGGGATGAGTTCCTGGGGTTCAGGCTGCCCTGTTCCCGGGGTTTGCCCCGGCCGGGGCTGGGCTGGGGCTCAGCCCCTGTGTTGTGTGTCCGTGCCAGTGAGGCGCCGGTGGGGAGGGCTGGGACAGTGACCCCACAGTGAAGGGCCGGGTTGTTGCCGTATGACAACGTTCAGAGGTGATTTCTGAGCTAAACAGTGACAAAAATCAGTCTATGCTCTGCCTTGAGGTAGCTATATATACATATATAAACATATAAATATTATAAACTCTTTTTTAATATATGTATTCTGCCCAAGGAAGAAAAAGGTTACATGAAATCACACTGAAGTTGTTACAGTAGCATGGAAACACTACATTTTAGAAAGGAAAGGTTTTGTACTGGCTAGAATTGTATATTTAATGTAGCAATTTAATTGGATAGTAAGTTGCAAATGTTTTGTGTGCATGCAAAGTCTGTTAGTAGGAGAAAGGATTGTTAGTTCTGGGGGAAAGGAGAGGTGGGAGCTTGGACTTCTGAAGTTGTGAGGAGGAACATGAGGCTCTTTCTGCTCGGGACAGGGTAAAGGCAGCCCGAGGTCCCAGAAGGGTGGTTTGGAATGTTCCTGGGACAGGAGCTGCCTCCTGGTGCTGCACATGGAAATCAGGTTTTTGGTAGGGTTGGCAGTGTTTTTCCCCGATGGGCACTAAATTGAAATGTAGTTTCTTTGGTCTGTTTTAATTGGCAGCTTGGCAAAGCCCCAAACCCTTCATTGCTCTCATCCCCTCTCTGGGACTGTGGGCTGTTTCTTTCAAGAATTCACACAGAACAATATCTCCAAGTTGCAAGGAACTGTTATTACAACATGTGACCGAAAATTAGAGTATTTTCTTGAACTGTGCTTTGTTGGCAGTGCTGTACAGGTTCAGTAAAGTTGAACACTGGCTCGTTCCAGGTCCCAGTGCAGCTTTTAGAAGAGACTCAGGTGATTTTGCTGGAGTGTGGGTTGGGACTATGTTGCTCTGCAAGTGCTGGTTGAGCTGCCAGGAGCTCAGCTCAGTGCCTGGAATTACAGCTGAAAATCATTCATTTGCCCACACCCGCCTATTTTTTCGCCCCATCTTTCTCTCCCATCTCTTTCATTTGCATGTGGAGGAGGTTTATCTACACGGGAGTTGGAATGACTGAATTATTTCAGGATTTGAGCATTAACTGTTGGCATGTGCTGGTACTTGCAAAGCAGCTCTCAGGACATTCTCTCTCTCCACATTTCTAACACAACAAGGCTTTCTGTGCTGGCTGCTTCTCAGCTGTTGTGAGCATGCAAATAGTAGATGCTTTGTTTGGATTCTTGGTTTTCACCCTCAGTTGTGCTCAGGATTGGGAGTGGTGAGGGAGGATGTCCTGGGGCCATCTCATGATACTGGGTTTAAACTCTCACTGACTGGTGTGACCAGTGAGTCACAGTCCCGAGGAGGCCCTGATTTCTTGTCTGGTTGGTGGTTGCTGCCACAGAGAGAACAATGATCCTGCAATAAAACCTTTTACACAACCTTTATTTATGCTCTTTTCTCAAGTAAAACCCTTAGCAAGGCCCTGCTGCAAGTGTGACACACTTCAGGAGGGAGCCAAGCATTTGTGAAAAGCTGATGTCTTCATAGCTTGATTGGCAGCAAACCAAAGCTAAAAATAAAGGTTCCCTCACAGTCTTGCTCACCTGAAAATGAGTGTGCAGAGACACAGCAAATATTCAGTCTCTTTTTTCACCCATGTTGCTGTGTGTCACAGAACTTTGTCTTCCAAGCAAAGATCACAGAACCACTATGCTTTCAGTTGAAGAAAGATGTCTTTGTCTCTTCTGTAAAACTTGGATGGTGGCTTTTAAAATAATAGATGGATTTTAAAGTAATCAGCACAAGTAGACATTGATGTACCCTTTGCTGGTTGGTCAAGGTGGCTCTGTTGGTGTAGGGATTGTTCTGTCATTATGGTGAAGTAAGGAGGGGTTGTAAAATCTCTGTTTGTAGGAGGTGTAAAAGTAATGGAGTCATTGCAATTGCTGACTAGGCCAAAGCTGAGAAATGTATAATTTTTTATTCACGCTGATGCAGAAATGCTTTGGACAGTGCTTATGGGAGGGGGTCAAGACCACCAAGAGACTGGTAGAAAGGAGCTGCAGGTATGTGGTACATGCACAGAGATACTGCTTGGACAGTTGCTGTAGGAGCCCTGGTAATCTTGTCACATCACTGTCACCAGAGGATTAGTTTTGTCATTTCTGATGTACAAATATGCAGAATATATTTTATAAATGGGAAAATACAACATAAGTCACAGTTACTGAACATCTTGTTGTGGGGGTGTGTGTGAGTGAAGAAGAGTTGTTACGGATGCTTGGGATTTGATGCTGGACTGTGGGCTCTGTTTTTCCCTCTTGAATGTGAACAGTTTTTCCTAAAATGGCTGTATTTCACATAGGAATGTCATTTGTAACAAACTTTTCTGGGATTCCTATTTGCTTTGTAGACATATCTTTTTTTCTTTTTCAGTGACTGTGAGCAACCCTGTGGAGAAAGGTGCGTGTGTTCAGTTTGCTGTTTGACACTCAATCCTGGTGTAAAAGGACTCACAAATGTTCCAGCTGAAATATCAAAAATATTTGCTGTCAATCTTTGAAATGTACATCCTCTTTCAGTATTTCCTTCCTGTAATTACCCTCCTGGGGTGCACGGCAAGCGTTGCTAGACATGCTGTAGCTTTTGGATGCATTGGGAGGTGCCCTGTTTACTCACAGCATAAGAAAACATGGGAAGGCTTTGATCCCTCTGACTCTTTCAGGAAAAGGTGTGTCTGTCTGTGCACACCCACACATCTCTTCTCCCTTTCTCTTTCACATTTTCAGAGCTCATTTTACAAGCCAAATAGGAAAGACTAGTTCTGTTCTGTGGCCCACCTATTTTTCCCCCGTTTCCTTTATCCTTCAGAGAAAGCTATTTTTAATGGGGTTTGTAGGCAGGCACAGATTTTTTTCTTGTTTCTGTTCCCCACTAACCAGCTCTGGAGCTGTAACACAATAGGATCACCCATGAGACTCTTTCCACTGGTGTGTTGTTGGAGGCCACGATCATATTCTAAGGATAAGGAGTCAGTGGCCATTTTAGTATTCCTCTGAAGAGGTGCTTTGGAGGCTTTTGGCTAATCCAGGTGGCCTCTTTGTTTCATTTTCTGGGGTTATGAAGGATAGAAGTAGGTGGAGTTGTCGGGGAAGTTGTTCCATGAAGAGCAATGCCAGATGATAGTTAAAGATCCTCCAGATTGCTGCATCGAGTCAATTCTCTTTCCCCTACAGAGCAGTCCTAATATTTGAAATTGCTACAGAGAAACTCTGGAAAGCAGGATATTAATGATTGTTCAGCAGTAGAAAGTTAGTAGTTTCCCAATCCATTAGTGCATCTCTGGGTCAGCTTCCTCTAATGTGCTGCTTGATCAACCAAAACTAAACCTGTTGCAAGATTTATCTCTTGTCATGCTGATTAAAAAGTGGCTGAGCTCCACCTGCACATAGTATGAAGATAACGTCTCAAACAAACTGGGAGCATAAGAATGACTTATCTTTGATTCACAGCTCCTCCACACAGTCCATCACATCCTTGTGAGGTGTATCCCATCATTTGCCATCTCATTAGAGTCTCAGTGATGCATTTGGCCTTTTTTACCAGTTTTCACACAGGAAAGGCAGTGTTTTCATACTTTAGGAAGTGTTTGGATTTTAGACTTCTCTTTCCACTAGTGGTATTTATTTTAATCTTAGTTTCTAGAATTTGAAGCTTAAAAGAAATGAGGGAAATGAGGTTTTTATTGCAATTAAATGGTGTGTTCAAATAAAACTGTATTGTAACTGTTGGATAATGTCTTAGTGAGTTGAGTGTTAAATAACAACTAGTTTGTGTAGCTTAAGAACTGCTGCTCTTTGGCTCCCTGATCATGGAATGCCTGCTTATGCCCGAGGGCTCTGGAATAAAGTTGGCATGTTGAAATAAGACTGCTCTGACACGTGCTGGTTTCACATGGTAACATTGTGTCCAGTGGATTACAATTCTTCAGTACTCACAAGACCTGTTTTGCTCACTTTGAGAGAAGTTTTCCTGATTTATTGTATCAACTGTGGCAAATGTGAAAGAGATTGGGTGTTTTCTGGTGATGCAAAGCTCCTGTTCCTCTCTCAGCTCTGCCAGGGACGCAGCAGGGGTGGGCAGTGCACTGGGATTATGGGTCTGTGCTCTGACTGCATTTAGCAGCAACTGAGCCCCAAAACTGGGAGGTGCTGCAGCATTGCAGTGTTAACCTGTGTGCTGCTCAGCACCAGCCAGTTCTGCTGGGCCTGGGCCTGGGATGTGGGGAAGAGAGGAATCCTGGCATTCCCAGGGATATGGGGTGGGCACCTGCCCTGGGGGGGAAGTCTCTCAGAGCTGTATCTTCCTCCCCCACAGAATGGGATCTGGGGGAGGGGGGAGGCTTGTGAGCTCAGTCCCCCCTGGGTGCAGCCCCTGAGCCCTGGAATGCTGCTGGGAGGTTTGGCTGGACTGTAAGAATGGGGAATTATGCCCCTCCTAAATGAAACTTTTGCTTAAGAAGTCATTGGTCTCTGTTTTTTCTTTTTGTTTTGTTTCTAGTGGCCTATCTTGTAATATTCCATATTCTCTTTGTGCTCTTTGTGTGGACATATTGGAAGTCTGTTTTCACCCTCCCAGTGCAGCCAGACAAAAAGGTAAGAGCCCCAGCACCTTCCATTCCTTGCAGAGCAAAAGCAGGGACACTGAAGAGAACTCAAAAATCCTTTGGTCAAGTTGATCTGGACAGGACAGTCAGATGCAGACATGTGTTTTAATGCTTTTTCCACCAAGTATTTACTTTGTCATGTTGCTTGGATTGGTAGATTTTTTTTTTTTTTCATTTTGTTTTACCTCTCTGTGAAATACTAAGACAACACTGTGTTTGGAGCAATAGAGTGAGGACAATGTTTGTGTGGCACTCCAAATATACATGGCCTTAATCTGATCCTGATTACAAGAATGTAAATGTATAAATAACAACTAATCCCAGTTTTAGAAATATAAAACTGTGACTGGGGGCAGGTTTTTGCTCACAAGGGAAGTGCTTAAAGTGTTATCAAGGTGAAGAATGTTATTCCTGAAAAATAGTCATCTAAGGCAGCCGTAGGAGCAATTCAAGTAAGTTGTTTTATAATCTTTGAATTTCACATTTGCATTTCTTATTGGTGTATCACATGGGGTTCTGGCTGCCCAGCACTCACTATCTTCTTTGTCTTCTTCACAAACACATTTTCACACTTGATTAAGCTGGTGAGCGAGAGTGGGAGGTAAAAATGTTTCTAGACTTGCCTGTATTTGAAACATTCTCTCTGCTCCCCCTGGGTAACTGCTCCTCTCATGGCTTCTGCCCCCAGTTCCACATGTCCTACGCTGACCAGGAGCGCTATGAGAACGAGGAGAGGCCGGAGGTGCAGAGGCAGATCCTGGCCGAAATCGCCAGGAAGCTGCCGGTGTACACGAGGACAGGGAATGGAGGTGAGCCCAGCAGGGAGCTCGGCGGCTCTGAGCTCAACAGGCACGGTCAAGTAGCACACACAGGCACTCCAGAGGATCCTGCCAGCCAACAGCATTCCTAGTGCCACTGCAGCACCCCTTCATTCCTGTGGGAATGATTTTCGTGCCTTTTCTCTCAGGTTTTCTCTTTGGAAAAGCAAAAAAGCTTTGAACATTCCTTCATTGCACGGAGGACCAGGTGCTGCCTTTGAGAAGCAATATGCTACCCCTTGGATTTATGTTCAAAAGGCCGTGTTGCCTGTGTTTAGTATGAGCAGTAGAATCACAAGATCTGTCATCATATTTACTTAAAATGGAGTCTGGCTTAGAGACGCAGGACATAATTCTGTGACCAGATTTCTTGGCCATGCTCAGTGATTAAATGCCTCTGGACTCCTTTCGCAGCCTGAAGAAGTCTGTGTTCATATTGGAGGCTCTGACCTGCTCGTTTCTGCCAGGCAAGCCAAAGAATTCTGAAGTAAAGAACTGGAATAAATAGGGAATTACCAAAATGGAATGTATGTATAGTCTGAGTAAATGTGGAAGCCAGAAGGAAGTGTACAGTTTTGGTTTATCACTTTTAAGCTGGCTGTGTGGTTTAGAGTAGGTTTAGATTAGAAGTTGGGGAGAAATTTTTCCCTGTGAGGGTGGGGAGGTCCTGGCACAGGTTGCCCAGAGAAGCTGTGGCTGCCCCTAGATCCCTGGAAGTGTCCAAGGCCAGGTTGGACAGGGCTTGGAGAAGGTGTCCCTGCCCATGGCAGGGGAGTGGAATGAGATGATCTCTAAGGTCCCTTCCAAGTCAAACCATTCTGTGATTTCAGTGAGGATTGCTCCCCCCATCTGCAGGTCTCCAGCAGAATTAGGAGCATTGTTAATCTGATTGCAACCTGGCAGCAAAAACCAGCAGCAAATGTGCTCATCTGCTGAAGTGATAGAGGAAAGAGTATGAACAGTTAGGAAATGAGCACCAATATCAGCTATCATGTGGAAAAAAAAAAAAGAAGACTCTTGCATCATTTGGTGTTAATTTGTCTTCAATCTCAGGTATTCGGTTCTGTGACAGATGCCAGCTGATCAAACCTGACCGTTGTCACCACTGCTCCGTCTGTGCCATGTGAGTCAGGGACTGTGTCTGAGGTGAACACAGTCCCCACGGGATGCTGGGGGTGGGCTGGGCCTTCCCATGGCTCTTTACACACAAAGGGACCCGGGGCCTCTGTCCCAACTGCAGCCCCCAGTGCTCCAGTGAGAAACCATCGGCATGGCTCTTCTCTGGATGAGAACAAAGGACATTAGTTGGCCTTGAAGAAGTAATAAGAGTTTTGTCTTAAAACAATACTACCTTAAAAAACTTAGACAGTATTATTCTGACTTTCTGTCATGTAGAAATCTCACAAAAACCAGAGGTTTTGCTGTTGATCTGCAGTTGGCAATTAAAAATCTTCCATTTTTCTTTTTTGTCCTTTTCCAGGTGTGTGCTAAAAATGGATCATCACTGTCCATGGTATGTCCTAGATACTGGTTTGTGGCTTTCTAAGAAAGGTTGCTTACATATATATATTTCTGGCACATATTTCTGTATGCCTCTCTCATTTCAGGCCATCCATCTCTTTATGTTGGGAAATTTATAAGATCATTACACTTCAAAATTGCCTGAAATGTTTGATATTTTGAAAGACGGATCATTCATGTTTGTTCCATAAACTATATGTGAAAAAGCTGTGATATTGATATCATTTAGAACCCAACTGCTAATTTACTCTTTGACTATTATTCAAATTTGAAAAGGACTTAACCTTAGCCTTTATTCTGGGGTCTGTCATCATTTCAGCTGCACTTGGGGGTGCTTTCCATAGTAACATTTGCATGTGGATCGTTTCTGAACTGATGCCTGGTCAGAGACCATCAGTGCAGAAAGCTGCATGGATTAATTGAGCTTTACCCTTTTTGAGAATTGCTGCCACTCAATTTATTAAACTCCTCCTTTTTTTAAAAAAAAGGAAGATTTCAGAAATCAGAAACAACACAAACATTTCCCCACCTGAACCTCCCTAGTAATCAAAATTGTAGAGGATTTTCCAAACCTGAGCTCTGAGACAAACCCCCACCGTGTTTTCCTGCATCCTCTGGTTCCTTTGTAGAGTTGTCCTGTGCATGGAGAATTAGAACCAAATTTGGGCTTGGCTGGGTTGGATGTCACCAGCAGCAGTGGTGAATGTGGCTCCTGAGCTTTGCCCTTGGGTAAAGGAGCCCAGAACTCCCAGCCCCCATTGCCTTTGCAGACAAGACCCAGGCAGGAGGAATGAGCTGCTGCCTCTGGGACCCATTTCCCCACGGTACCAACCCTGAGACATGAGCTGGGCTTGTCCTTGGCCCAGCAAGAAGCCTTGGAGGGAAAAGCAGAGCCTTGAGTTCTGTTCCATTTTGGCCATTAAGGGGAGCTGCTCCTTGCCAAATTCTGTTGTGTGAGCCAGAGGTTTAATAACCCCCCAAACTGGTCGTGCTCTTTGTGTGACAACCATGTGCTGCACAAATCCTGATTTCAACTTTGCTTTTGTCCTCTAGGGTGAATAACTGCATTGGATTTTCTAACTACAAATTCTTTCTACTGTTCTTAGCCTATTCTTTGTTGTATTGCTTGTATATTGCTGCAACAGTCTTCAAGTATTTCATTAAGTATTGGACAGTAAGTTGTGAAATCTGGTTCCTTTTTCATCTCCTGTGAGTCTCGTGGGGTTTAGTCACTCTTGTTGCTGTTTTGCTCTCAGTCAAGTGGAGGGGCTGCATTTCTTCTGTGAGGTACTTTCCTGGGCCCTTTTTCAGTCCAAAACTCCCATTATATGTCCAAATTGCACAAAAGCAAGAAGCAAATAGACCTCAGGAATTCCAAACTGTAGACTAGCTTCTGGGAAAGAGGTTATATCCTTTTCCTTTTTGTTTGCATGTGTGTCTCTCAGAATGTTTGGAATTGATATTGATATGTAACATCCTGACATTGATCTGTACATATTTACTGAAAAGAGGAAAAAAAAAGTCAAAACCCCTTGTTCATTTTCTAATCCCCATAGGATTCCTTTCTCAATTTAAAACTGGACTGAACTGAAGTAGCCTTTTTATTCAGTTGTTGCTGGTCACTCCTATGCAGCAATGCCAGCTGACAGCTCAGTAAGAGGCTGGCCCTTGGCCTCTAGTTTGTGTCCCCTCAGCTGCTGACTCTGCTCAAGTCCCTTAACTCTGCTGGGCATTAATTGTTCCTCACACTCAGAAAGGCCCAGCCTTGAGCTCTGTGCTGCTCCCACGGGATGAGCAAAGGCTGGGAAGTGCCTTTGTTCCCTGCAGGTGCCCAGAGCCTGCCTGTGTGTGCTGCTGGGCACCACTGGCACTCGGCTCCTCTGCTCTAGAAGGAAATGGGTGTCTCCACCTCTTGTAAGGTCCCTTGATTTTTAAGCTTTCCCAAGCCCTCTCTGCTCAGTTCTAACACCCCCCATAGCTGCAGCTGTGCAGGCCAGGTTCTCTTGGCTTACCTCACCTTGCAAGAGGTGCAGGATTTTAGTGTATGCACAGGAAACTCAGCAGAACATAAAGAGGGCTTCAAGAGCTCCTGCCTGCTCGTTTCCCCGTGGGCACAGGGTGTGCTCCTGGTGCCCAGGTGGGAAGGGTGATTGCCCTGCCTCTGCTGCACACCAACAGTTGTGCTTTAGGTACAGGAGGGGAAATGAACCACCTCATTTCTTTGTCTCTCCTTGGTTTTTATACTAAGGTTGACTTTTGTCTATACGAGTTTGAGAACTCCCAATAGGAGTTTTAGAAGCTCTCTTTCTTCTCTCTAAGAATGAAGAATTTCCAGCTTTAATTTGTTCCTATCACTTGTTCTGTGTTGCTTTTCTTTCCAGGGTGAGCTGACCAATAGCCGTTCCAAATTTCACATCCTTTTCCTTCTCTTCGTGGCAATCATGTTCTTCGTGAGCCTCATGTTTCTGTTTGGATACCACTGCTGGCTCGTTAGCAGAAACAGATCCACCTTAGGTAAAGCTCTTGTGTCTCCCTTCTTTTAGTAAGACACGCCAAAGGTGCTGTGAGAAGTAAAAAAGAAAATAAAAAAGGCATTTGTTCTATTTCTGTGCATTCCTGCTGGCTTATGAGGGAAGGAAGATTTAAGATCTTGGCACAATGCTGCAAAAATTTGTCATTTGAAATTAGTTGTGTTTGTTAGCTGGTGTGACAGAAGCACACAGGGAAGCAAAAAGCACAAAGGGAAACAAGAGTCTTACAGTGTAAAAGTCCAATTATAAAAATATTATGCATATGTATAACTATGTTTGAAATGAGTGCAGCTTTTCAGGAGTAATGGTTTATGTTCAGATGCTGGTGTGCATCCTAAACCAGCTTAGTGAAGTTGGGAAACAGTGTCCATTCTCATTGATAAAGGCAAAGAAGTTATGACTGTAAACCCAAAGAAATTATCTAGAACAGGATGATTTTGCTGGGTAGTTTCTTTGTCTTTCCTCAGATAAATGTTGTTCAATATTTAAAGCTTTTTGGATAAAGTTTTATAACAAAAAAGACACTATCAAGAGTGAGCAAATATTGTGGTTTTGTCTAGTGATTAACTTTAAAACTCATTTCTTGGAGCACAGAAGCTCGTCTGTCCCAAAGCATCAGACCTGTGCAGCAGCTTCGAAGGTAGAGCAAATTGTTTCTAAGGCACTCCAGGTTCAACTCCCCTCTCATTTTTAGTTTTATGCCTCACCATAACAGAGGGTCTATTTGCATTTGTTCGTTCATTATATCATTAATGAATGAGGCAATTGAAATCTCCAGTGCCACTTCTGGAATACTCATTGAAGGCCAGCCTACATAATTCTGCAGATTTTTTTACTTAGAAATTTTCACCCACTGAATTTCTACAAGTCTCACAGAAAGAACTTGTAACTCTTGTTCTCTAGATTAAACAAACCATTTTTGGTTTCATTTAACTGTCCTGTAGTTGTACGACCAAATTCCTGCCTTTGATTGGAAAGTCTTTACAGGCTTTGCAACATGAGAATAAGCTTTCACTTATTCTCAAACTTTGTAGTGCTGAATCTATATAATCTATTAAATCATGTTGACTTTAGATGGCCACATCATGCACAATCCTGTTTCAGAGACTTTGGCATTGATTTTCATTTTTTTCACTGAAATTGCATCTGTGTGCAGAGGCTTTCTCAGCTCCGGTGTTTCAAAATGGCCCAGATAAAAATGGATTCAATCTTGGCTTTGTAAAGAATCTTCAGCAAGTGTTTGGAGAAGAAAAAAAGCTCTGGTTGCTGCCTATTGCCTCAAGGTAAGTAATAATCAAGTCAGTGCTAAAAGCTGATACAATTTTTGCCATTTTGTGTATAGGTCACAGGAAAGTGGGGGTTTTATGTGTCTTTCAGTAACATCTGACTAAGATTGAGGCCATTTTCTCTTGGGTGTCATTCAAACACAGATGTGTGATTTCTGCCCTGAAGAATCTGTGCTATCAATTGATAAAATTTAGACCTATGGAATAATTGCTCTGTTTTCATAATTGTTCTCCTTAGTTCCCCCCTCACTTCTACCTGTCCACAAGTTAATTTTTTCTGTTTGTTTTGGTCTTTTTCTGTATCCAAATGACTTGATCAAGTTAGCACATTGAAGTTCTGCTAAAAATTACTTAATTCCAGGCTTTAGATCTGAACTTCTGTTCCCCAGTGAGCTTGAAGGAATTGAGGACCAAAACTGCTCTCTAGTAAAACTTGGCACCTGAGCTGCCATGAAAAATAAACACGGTGCTTTTCAAAGCTGAAATATAATTTTAAGTAAACATGGGAAACAGAGGCAGCAGAAAACTTTGTTTGCAGATAAAATGTGTTGAAATTGTCATCCTTTGGAGCCACTTGCTGTTTTTCCAGTGTCTCTCTGCCTTTTCCATGCAGCCAGGGGGATGGACATTTTTTCCCCATGAGAGCCTCGTGTGAAGCTCGGAACCCTCTCCTGGCAAATGAAGAGCAGTGGGAAGAGGATGGAATAGATGAAGAGCCCCAGGGTAAGGTAACACTGTAGGAAGTCAGTTGTGTCCTGACCTACAGTGCCTAATAGATAAATTCAAAGTGATCAAATAAAAGTGGTGTTGGCTGAGTCCCTGGGCAGCTCTGCCTTGACTAATGAGCACAGACTGAAAATAAGCCCTACTTTGGAGTCAACTTTTTTGTGTTTCTCGAAGCTTTCTACTTGCAAGTGAATGAACTGAGAGGGTGGTACGAGTTGGAGAGAGAAACTGAGATTGCCACAAACTGAGTGTTTTTACCTGTAAATGTTGTTGCATGCAGTGCAATTATCTGGGACACAAAAAAGGAGAATACTAAGATTTTTTAAAAGTGCAGTTATCTTCTGGGAGTGTGTGAAAGCAGGCATGCAAACACCTGAGTGCAGGGATACGTTTAAGAAGCTCCTTTATACTTTGTCCAGCTTTATTACAAGAGTAAAGCAGTTCACTTGATGCTGGATTTGATGTGCTGATCTCCACAGAAGAAATAGATGTGCTGGGAGCAGGTCTGGGTGAGCTGCTGTGTTTGTGCAGTCGATTTGATTGGCTTCTGGCATTCAGAGACACCTTTTATGCTATGGAAATCCTATTATAAACCAGAATTTATATGTATATACATTCTTTGATGGTTTTTGTTAGATGGATCCAAAATCAGTTTAATGATTTTACATTTCTCTGTTTGAAGTTGATTTTTTTCCCCCTTGGATGTTTACCTGCAAGCTTTGGTCTTTGGAGAGTACAGTAGGTATTGGAATCTCAGGATTTGTCATTAGTTTCTGCTAACGAGCCCCAGTCCCCTTGTTTGAGGGTTCAGAAATCCTGTCTGCAAGGGCTCCTGGTTTTTCCTGTGGAGCAAGGATGCCATTCACAGGTTCCTTTTAAAATAAAGGTGGTAATCCCACCCTTTTTTTCCCTTTAAGGAATGGTGATAGTGTGAATTAATTCTGAGGTTACTTATAATCCGTGGATCAAACATCAGAGATGTGATTTCCATAGTTGTGCTCTTTGTTGCTTCAGAAGAGTTTTCAGGAACTTTGCTGATAAAGTTCCCTTCCAGGGTGTACATTTTAGTCCCACATGTGCAGGATTTCTGTTTGAGACCCTGTGAGGAAGATTTAGCCTTGGGCAAAGGGTAAAAAAGCTTTTCATGTGAACATTTTCCTACCCGTGCTGTGCCATGAGCTCTTTAATCCTCCCAGTACAGGCCCTGCTGCTCAGGCTCTGCTTGGATCTCACCTGCAGCTCTTTGTTCAGGTTTTCCATTGCAAAATAAACTGACTTCATGTCCTGCTGGGCAAATCCACTCTCCAGGAGTTTGTCAGTAGGACTGAAGAGGCTCATTTCAGCTTTTCTTTGGATGAACTGCTTTAATTGGTTCATATCCGTGTGTTAGAAAACTACCTGCTCCTCCTGGTTTGCTCTATACATTTTGGCAGTTACAAGGTAACACAAATTGGTTTTTTAAAAATACCAGAATTGTCTTTAATAGTAACAAAGTATGGCATCTCTGTGAATTTTTTGTGAGGCTTAAAACAAGTCCTTTAGGAATGAGTCAGAACTTCTTCCAACCTTTACCAAGTATAACTTATCTGAATAAATAATTAATTCTTACATATGAAAACATTTGACAGTGAGATGATTTTTGGCTAGATCAGACCCCAGAATATGATCTGGAGCTTATATGAAGTTCCTCAATTTATAGTGCTTATAAAATAACTGACATTTACAGGCAGTTGAATTAGATGATCATTATGGGTCCCTTCCAGCTGAAATATTCATATTCCCTCTTAAACAATAGAAGTAAACCATTATAATTGAGTAGTCAGAAAGACCTGAAATGTTACAGTAAAACTGAAAGATCTTCATTTGTCTTTGTGGCTTTAAAGCTTGTGACATGGTTATGAAATAAATAAAGCCAATAATAGAGCAATCTCAGTTTGAAAGCAGCTGTTCAGTTATCTCTGACAAGTGGTTGTCTATTTTCATTTGGAATGACTCTTAAAAACACACTCCCATACTTAGTGAAAAATATGTTCTCAGTGAGAAAACCAGGTTTACTTACCTCTGACTGCTTTGTTTTTCACTGTACAGGTTCTGGTGAAGCCTCAGCCCTTGTCATAGAAAGGGAGACATAGCAGGGTGAAAATGCAGCCGGATAAAGCTCGAGCACAAAGGTCAGTGTTCCTTCCTTTCCCTCAAATCCACACTGCAGGGAAATGGGGAGGGGCTGTTGGACAGGGTTTGGCTTTAGCAGTGCCATCCCCGTGGTGCTTGGGCAGTCCCTGGACACTGGGGATGCAGCTGTGATTTCACCAATATTCCCCAGAGGCCCAGAAATCCCTGGTTCAAGGGAACCTGAAGGGCAGGGGTGGCTCTCAGCAGCCCTGAGCTGGGGGTCAGCCCAGGTAACACCAGAGCCACCAGCACAGTGTGTAGAGGAGGACACAAACCCTGCAGCTGCTCTGGAAAATGTGGCAGGAACGACTCTTGCACTGACTTGTACAATTCCAAGGTGGGAAATCTGTGCAGGGATTCATGGAAGGAGCAGGAAGGTGCAGGTGCAGTCTAACAAAAGTTGAGAGCAGCCAAGTTGCAGTTGGGAGAAGATGGAAGTGACTTGGAATGTCACATCAGCTGCTACTCCCTGATCTGGTTTTTTCCACCCTGGAGAAACGTGGGTCAACAACAGATGACACTGTGGGGAAGATGCTGCTCCCAAAACATTCCCTGCTCTGTAAAGCTGTTCTGCCTTTGAGAATGGGGCACACGCAGGGAGCTGCAGGCTCTGTCCTCTGCAGGCTCCAGGAGATGTTCTCCCAGAGAACTGTAACAGGCCAAGATCCAAGGAGTAGGAATCTGCTGTCCCACTTGCAGAAGGTGGGACAGGCAGATGGAATTTACCCCTCTGTTTTCCAGGGGTGTTAATAACAATTGTATGGCAAAGCACTGCCTGGCTGTGCTCACACACAGGGCACCTCCAGACTTTTACCCATGAGCTTCTGGCATATTGTGGATACCAGTCCATTTTCTTCCACTAACAAAAACCCAGAAGTGTTTTTTCTGTCAGTAGTGAGGACTGAATTCTGCCCTTCTACTGGGGAGGGAAAACCAGCATTTTCCTTGTTGTTCTTCACGGCTTTAAAACACTCAAAGTCCAGTTCAGCCATCGATGCTCATCACAGCAGTGTTATAGGTGCACGTTTTTGCTTCCTTAGATTTCAGCTTCCCTCTCAGGAGCCAACACCACCTCTTGGCATGGACTTCAGTTTTGAGGGGCAGAAAACAAGTGGATCTTCAAGATGAGAAAACGTCCTGAAGTATCATCCGACTGGAGTCTGCATCTGAGAGTGCTTCTCCAGAAATCCTGCTGTCCAGATGGCCCAAGGCTTTATAAGTTTCAGTTACAGAGTTAACAGAACAGTTTTATAGAGTGATTGTGGCCAATCTTCTTTGGCCTGCTCCCTTTATTTTATAAATACTATATATTTTTTATGCAAAAAAGGTAAAAACGTTGATGAGAGTGCACTTCCAAAGGCCTTTTCATTTTGCAAACGTCAGGGACTCGAGTTCTTGAAATTCTACCAAGCCATAATATTCTTGGGGATGGTTATTTATTTTGAGACTGATTCTCCAACCTTCTGTGACATTTTCTACTGTGTTTGAAGTTCTGAGTCAGTTCAGCCCAGTGCGAGACAGACCCAGTTAAATCTGGCACTAAATTGGTAGTTGGGTGTAAGTGTGTTGAATGAAAAAGTGCTGAACATGCACATAGACACGTGCAGCTGTGAATGCAAATAAAATATTCCCATTGCCAGTATCAAGATTCAAGAATATTGTGGCCATAGATTTTTTTAAACTTTTTTTAGGAGGGTGTTATTGTCTTGGAGTTTGGTTACAGTGCTCTTTGCCCAGTCCTACTTGCAGGCACCTAAAATGCAAACAGGAACTTCAGATAGTCCAGTTTGCATTAATTCCTAGGGCCAAAATGTCCACTCATTCCTGGGTCGGTGTTTGACGGAAATTTGTGTGTTTGTGGAATCAGAAAGGAAGGTGTGAATTCGAAACACAGGAGTTGGAAATGACACTGGAAGTTTAGCTCCAACAGTGGTGTTTGGAGTTTACACTCCACACAAAATGCTGAAGAGACAATTGATATACAGAGTTTTTCAGACTTCTTCCCAAGCCAGTGCACTGACTGGTGGTTCCAGGGGTTTCAGCACTAGGAGGTGATCAGATTTTTTTCACATTTTGCTCCATTTGCAGGCAAAGGGATGTATCCTAGTTCTGTTCTGGGGAAGGGAACTGACCCTTTGGCCAGATTATACACATTTTTCTAGACTTGAGTCTTTTTTTTTCTGCATGATTCAGCCCTGGCAGCTCCATCACTCGTGTCTGAATTAGGTGCATGCTCACAGTATTAGTGTACTGCCTTTAAGATCATTTGGTACCATTTTCTGTCCCAGTTTTGTGTTTGTTTATCAGCCCATTGCTGTTGAGGTGACTGCAGAGGCAGTTGTGCCTGTCAGGAGAAATGACCTGAGGAGTGAGTTTGGTGACAAAGGCTTTGCCTACCTACTAAATCCTTTTTTTCCTCTGTTTGCTCTGCTGCTGCTGCCGCCAGTGGGAACGTGTCTGTGAGATGGGAGAGCCTTGCAGAGACTTTCTGCCCTCAGGAACAGGCTTTCCCTGGTGTGATCCCGCCCTGGGGACAGGGATCCTCAGCTCTGCAGTTCTGTGCAGAGCAGGCAGGGATCTCTGGAGTGTCTTACTGCTGAATTGGGTTGTGAGGGGTCAGGGTGGGCTCACCCAGGCTCAGGGGGGGTTTGTCTGTGCCCTCAGAGTGGTCTTGAACACTCAGAATGTTCCTGCTTCAGCCACTGGAGCCCTGGCCATGGGCTGGCTGTCACAAAACGGCTCTCGAGTGTTTCTCCTGCCCATCTAAACCTGCATTTCTAATGTAAATCTCGAGTTGGACCTTCCCCTGCGTGTGATGAAAGATGGCAGCAGAATTAATCACCTCATTTCTGGTAAAACATGCTCTGGAGGGGGAGTTTGAGAGGATGGTGGCAGCTAAACACAACAGGAAATGTGCAGGAATTTAGCACCAACAGAGGTGCTATTTGTGCCTTCAAAAGCTCAAAATTCCTTCTGTATAAAACCAGGAAGATCTGGGGACTTTCTGTTCCATTCTGTCAGCTGAAGGGTATTTTTCAGAGCTGTGTGGATTTACAGGAGTTTTCTGAGCAGGTTCCTGTGTCCTTCCTGGGTTTGATTCTGGTTACAGCTGTGTCTTTGAGCTGTTTCTCTGCCAGGCAGCAGCAGCAGCAGAGCTGCCCATGAGCTCTGCAGGCACCATCCCTGCCTGCTCCTGCTGCAGCACTGCTCACTTGGTAGTACAAAAAATCAGGTTTCGTCTTCTAATAATTATTAAACCAGATGTCTTTAAAAGGCAGCTACCCAGCTCAGATTTAGAAGCAATTTTAAACATTTCCAAGTGACTTTTATTCAGTTGTTTTTCTTGTAAATAGTTATGGCCAATTCTTCCCTTTCCTTAAAAGCAGCTCAGCCCCCCGTGGTTGTAAAAATCTCTTGCCCAGGTAGAAAAAATACAGAGTTTAATCACTTCAGAACCACTCCCCACCAATATCCACATGTCAGGTGTTGGGAAGCTTCAGGAGATGGGAAACAAACACAAAAGCTGTGTAAAAATGAGGCAGAACAAACTGAGGGAAACCCACGTCTGAGTGACTGAACAAGCTCCATTTTGTTCCCTTCTCCTCACTGAGGGTGATATCCTTGTGTTACCCTGGCATTTGTCCCGTTTGTGCCGGGTAAATGCACTGGCAAACAGCAGTTGCTCAGCTGCTGTGGTCACTGCTGCAGGTGCTCAGAGGGAAGGTACCTGGCCCAGTGCAGGGCAGGTTTTTTAACCTGCAAATGGCTCTGCAAGGGATACACCTACTGCAACACCTCCTTTGTTTCCCATCCCCGATCCTCATCCAGAGGCTCTCCACCATCACCCCTGACTGTGAGGGCTGTGCCATCAAACCTGTCCCTTACCTGCCCCGCCAGCCCCTCCTGAGCAGCTGCTCCCTCCATCCCAGCACTGCAGGATGGGACTGAGCCCCCCCAGTCCCACAGCAGCGATGGCACTGCGGCTCTGGGAGCTGCCCAACACTTCCAGTGTATCCTGGGTGTTCCTCCTGCTGCTGTGCTGGGGCACAACTGTTCCAGGGCTGCTCTGTGTGCCCGGGAGCAGCTTGTGTCCCCCCGGGACCGGCACCTTGGGATGTTACTGTTGCTCTCTGGTCAGGTGCTGTAAATCCAGTTGCACCAAAGAACTTGGTGAAGTGGAAAGGTTTGAATCTCAGTTCTGATGCTGCTGGAAACTGTGAGACTGTCGTGCTCAGTGCTGAACCACAGCCTGGAGCAGTGTGGAGGCAGGAAGGCTGTTTTCTCTGCCTTAGTGTCAGACATGGACTAGAGAATGAAGCAGAAAATGAGTGGTTCTCAGCTCAGGGTCAGAAACAGCTTCTGTCCTTAGGGGATCTCCTCCTGCTGCTGGAGCTGCAGGTGTAGAAGCAGCTGTAGGTCAAGAAGATTTTGTTGCTTGGCTGAGTGCAGCCAAGGTGGAGGGGCTGACTGGAGGTGGGGCAGTGCTGGGCACGAGCAGCCCTGGAGACATCTCCCATCAGGGCTATTCCCATGAGGCGCCCTGGAAGCTGGAACAGGAGCACCAGTGGTTGTGTAGCTCTGCCAGCAGCCACCAGGCAGTAATAAATATGGGTTGAGTGCCAACCAGCGTGGCAGTGTCAGACCCACAGCCGTGGGTTTGTGAGCTTCCCTCAGGGCACAGGAGTGTGGGCTCAGCACCTGCCACCTGGCCTGGGCTCCTTCTGTTGGGATTGCAGCATTTTACAAATGCATCTCACATCCTCCTTGAGGCTGAGCTGTCTCAGCCATGAGCAACTTTTCCAAGTGATGTCACAATGGAAAAGAAGCAGCAAATGGTCTTGCTGGACTTTGCTGTGGTACCTGCCACTGTCTCATCCCTCTGCCCCCGGTTTCACGTTCCAAAGTAACTGATCACTAACAACCACCTCCTCACCTCTCCCCCTTCTCTCCCATTTACATTCAGGTACACTGTACTCTTAAAAAAAATAGGGAAAACATCATATTGATGTTTCTCTGGGTAGAACTGTGGTCAGTCGTGTCCTGGGCCAGGACTCGTCCCCACCCCACTGCTCTGTCGGTTCCCTTTTCTCTGGCTGAGCTGGATCTTTGGAGCAGGATAACTTTGTTTTCCTCCAAGCAGGGAGCAGTACTGCATGTCTTTAGCAGGCTGTACCCAGTGTGTGTGGTGCACAGTCACTGGCAAGAACCAGGAAGCTTCCTAATGGCACTGTGCAAGGAATGTTTGCTTCCTGGGAGAAATGGGAGTGGGATTCAGCAGAATCCACACCAGCTGGAGCTCTGGAGCTCTGTATGCTGGTATGGACTGAAAGCACAACTTGATGCATAAAGTCTGTAATATAATATGAACATAAAATAACAAATAATGTACCATTTCTTCCCTGAATTTAGCTCTGAAGAAGGACACACTGAGCTGTTCTCAGGGCCCCACTGCCTCCCCTGCAGAGCAGAGTTACTCTGCAGAGCAGTTCCTCTGTGCAGAGCCAGCTCACTCACTCAAGGGTTTAATTAGCAGGTGAAGGAGGCACCGCTGACCTTGTTTATTGAGCCAGGAATAATTAACTCAGAAGGGTCATGTTTTCATTCAGTGACTCCTGTGGTACAGATTTTTGAAGTTGATCCATAGTACTTGAAAATACCTCAATTTTATTGATATTTTTCCAATTCTATCAGCTTCTGCTTGGTTACAGAACACTTGCAAAAATCAGCTGGTTCTGAAGGGATCAATGACAGCATTTGCATGGTAGAGTGGCTGCTTTCAGTGCCAGCAATGGGCTGTCAAACAGCTCGACAGGGCAGCCCCACACGGGCTCTTCCCGCTTAATGCTGCATTTCCTGCCCTGCTCATTAACGCTGAGCTCGCACCCACTGCTGCAGGCTCTGAGCCTTGTCCTTGTTCCATCTCCCCTTGAGAGTTCTCTCTTCCTCCTAAACATATAGTTAAGATATTTTCAGCTGTGAGCTGCTTGTGCTGGTTTTTGGATACTGTGAAGGTGAGTAGGTGTCATTTTATGCAGTTGTGCCTGTATTTTATTTGTAGTTAATCTGTTTGTCAGGTATCAGTTTGTGATTCTCATCATCAGGCCCAGCTGGCTTTGCTTAGAGCAGCAGGATCCCACTTCCTGCATTTTCTCTTTCCTAAAAAACTCTTCATTCTTTCACTTTAGTTTGGGATGTAAACCTTGTGAAACAAAATCTGAGTTTACATTTCAAATACAAGTCTGTAAGTTGGTCATGCCTGCATGCTCCTTAAAAAAAATTATTTTTTTCTGTATAATGTCTTAAGATTTACAGCAGCATTTGTAAAGCTTTAGTGGGTAACAGACAATGTTAAAAAAAGTGTATGTTGAGGGGGGGGAAAAAGAGCAGCCAAAAAAACCCAACAAAAAGGACCAAGGGATCATCTTTGTTTCTTCTTTCGGCTGTGTTTGAAAAGAAATCCCTGCTTGCATCAACCAGTCATGGGACACACAGGGACTTCACCCGAAGGCATCCCTGCTGTTTCAGTACCTCAAGTACTTAATTTCTTGAGTTCAACATTGGACTAAATCCCGTGGAACCAACAAAATTGTCCTCCCCATCTCCTTCCTGACCTGGAGAAGGTGTGTGGTGCCCCTTCTCAGATCAGCACTTTCCTTTGTAAGAGAAATAAAAATCCAGTGGATTCTTGACAAGGTCAGTGTATTATTTTTTCCCCCCCTGCCTTTTTCTGGAGAATCCAGGAGCCTCCCGGATGTGTCTGAGAAAGAAATCCCTCAGCACCTGGGATCCCAAAGGATGAGTTTTGTGACTAAGAACTTGTGTAAGGAGGTGGAACCTGTTGTTCTGCTGTTCTGAACTAACTCCATGTGTGGTCATTCTTCCTCAGAATTAATGGAGTAGCTTCCTGCTCTACTCACTGCCCATCTAAGCAGGAGCTACTCCAGAGTGAATCCAAATCCATTGTTGGAGGAGGGAACTTTAACAGCTTCCCTTTTGCTTAGGAACATAGGAAATAGAAAAGGTCTTGTTATTTTATAAATTATAATCTGATCAGATGGCTGATCTTCATCTGAAAATGATGTTTATTGTGCAAAAGGGTCCCTCAAGATGAAACTTAATTTAAACCTCAGGATCAGACCATGGCAGCCCTGTCTGCATGTGCTGTTCAATGTTAGCAGGAGTTTTTACTTTGCCTCACAGGAAAGCCAGTGGGTTTCACTTGCTGGAGTTTTTCCAGGCAGGAAAATGGGGCTGAACAGCCACTGCAGGAGCTGCTGTGG